GCAGAGATCCAGAGAACCTTTTTAGATGTGATAAATGCATTCAGCATAGGTAACACCGAATATGCATTCAGCATAGGAACCTTTTTACGGGTTCTTTTTCATTTTCCATTTTCTGTACACCGAATATACGTTTTTAGATCACCCAGCATCAGGCCCTTCCTCAAATCGATCTAAATATCATGGATCTACCATGAACCCTCACTACTGTTGACAGCCCTGACCAGTGACTGTGCTTAGGTGATCTAACCCACCAGCCCTCTTCCATATTAGCTGACCTAAAAAAATCCTTTCTATAACCATTTCACTATAAGAATAAGTTATTTCATTGTATCATTTCACTATGTAAATTTCGCATCCTAGGTATACGCCTCTTCTGATACATGTTTTCTCACTGGGCCTTATTTCAGCTCACGTATAAATGCTGTCCAACTTATCTATGTAGTTTTTAGCCTGCCCATTATTGAAAGAGAAACATGTATATTCGTACTTTACCCCTTTCAATTCTTTATATTTTATATTTGTATCATGACTTGCTAATATTGGATTCAGTTCCTAATATTTGACATATAGAAATTTACCATTTTCCATACATTAAAACAATACCGTTACAGGAAAGTAAAATAAATAATTCATACTCTCTCACATAAATCCTTTAGCTGCTATACTAAAAAAATGCCTACATCAGCTGTAGATTATTAGTCTTTTTCACAGCTATTTAGTTCTATTCCTACATTATAATTATCTTACATCTTATCATAATACAGCCAGTTAACCCACCACAATATCTTCTTACCATATATATCTTTCCAACTACAAGTAAAATTTTCATCACATGAATACTTACATACATCAAATTATAAATCACACACTCCACTGCATTTCTGCATATCCCAAAATACTAACTCTCTTTAAAAAATAAAAAAATACTATAATAAAAACTCCAATGGCTAGCTAGACCTTTCATAACCTTTTTTATTTATCAAATGCATCTAACTACATGTGTATATATATTGTAGGCTGTCACGCCCGGAATTTCTATCCAAAATTCCAAATGCTTACATGTGTGTAAACCCTCGTCCAAGAATCAGCCGAGGCACACAATAACAAATTGATAATAGAGTACAATTATTACTCTAATTAATAAGTGAATAAAAAATCATTACAGAGGTAGATAGTTCCTCTCAAACAATAAAAATCTAAGCAGCGGAAAAATAAAGCGCGCAGACGTCTCCATCCCACAAGCAGCTTGACCAGGGCTACGCCTAATCCTCCACACCTTCAGCATCACTGTAGAACTCCTCCTCTGATGAATGATTGCAAGGTGAGTATATGACATACTCAACAAGCCACGCAGCAAATATGCAAGTGCAGGGGATAACAAAGGATGGCATAGTATAATCTCATTTGTATAAATGGTATTTAATAAATACTTCAGAATTTAATAAAACAATAACGTATTTAATTAAACAATATTAATCCAACGCTATACAACATACCCATTGCATAGGCCCAACCATTCTGAACAACCAATCCCGGCTGCATAGTTCTATCTCCAAACCAGGAATATACCATTCCAAACCAGGAGCTAAACAAATTATTATCATCATCATTTATTATGGTGAAAGGTATGAAACTAATCATGAAAGACATTGTTCGACCCGCCCATAACCGCGGGCACGGCTATTCGAATAGTTTTACTCTGGCCAGAGGTGTACCACTGTACCCACAAGACACAACCTCAACATCATGTCAACCATGCGTCGCGATACTTAACAAGTACCCGAATAGAGATTGTGACAATACCCTTCGCATAACACAATTCAAACCAGTGCATCATTCCTGGATCATAATCACCCCCTTATAAAACAAGGCATGGACTCCCCAGCGACCCCCGTGGGCTTATCTCCGCCACTTCACAGTCTGGTGCTCTACAATGAACCATACTATACAAAAAGTAAAGCCGTTGCCCACGCTGGCTTGTGGTTGGCACGATTAATGTTTCACAACCGAAAATCGTGAACCGGTCATTAATTGTCATGAGCACGACCATCAAAACCATGTGCTCACAACCCACCATTATCATATTTTAGTTGGCATCTTAATTAATCAACCTATCATGATTAACCATCATGAGCTATCATTAAGCCATCATTAAGTAATAGTGAATTATTAATTATCCCATTCATATGAGCTAGAGTCTCTAAGCATGGCTAAGCATCCTAATTACTTTAGCTAAAACCATATAATGTTCTAGCTAATCAAATTATTAACCAAGTGACAAAGAATAGGTAATCAATATCAAAGGGCTATAACAAAAGCAATAGGTTATTTCCACCCAATGACATTCAAAAATAAATGCAATAGTTGAATAGAAACAATAGCTTTAAACGGGATCAACATGCTCAAAGGGTTGTTTGGGATCTGTGTGACTTGCCTTACTTGCCTTGGAACTCTTCAAAGTCTTCTCCTGCAAACTCAGACTCTCCGGGAACGTCGGAATCTAAGCATAAAAGAGCAAAATCACCAAAACAGTACATAAACAATCATAAACAGCACATGTGGATATTTTTAACATGTAGATCTCAATTTTAGAAAAATTTAGAGACTTGAACCAACTAAATCCGAGCTAAGATGAATTAGTTATGAATTTTTAAAGATTAAACCGGATTAAATCATTTATATAGATTTTAATTAGGTTATGACGCAATAAAGAATTATTTTTGAAAAGGAAAAAGGATTTATTGCGTCAGCGGGCTCGGGTTCACGGTGGACCGGGTGCACGGAGACGGTCTACGGATCGAATGGCTAGGATCTAATCTAATCCAAACGAACGGCCGAGATCGATCTAATCCACCACGGGTCTACGGCGGACGTGGCACTGACGTCGACGATGACGTCATCACCGGCGACGGCTCGGCACCCCGGGCTCACCGGCGAACGACGGCGCGGCGGTGCAAACGGAGGGCACCAACGGGTAGAGGGCGACGCGGCGAACTCACCGAGGACACGGACGACGGCGGACGGCAACGGACGGCGACGGCGGCGAGGTCGAAGCGGCGGAGACGTTCGGGTCGACGATGACGGCGATGCTCCGGCGGCCTTCGGCGGAAACGGAGGACGGGACAAGGACGGCGACGACTTGGTGATCCCGACGGCGGCCTTCCCGAGCGACAACGACGACCGGAGTGGCGGCGACGCACGGCTGGATTCGCGGCGGTGCACGGGCTAACGCGGAGGCGGCGCTACAAGCGGCGGCGAGCTGAGGCGAGGGTGGCGACGGACAGAGGAGGTCTAGGGGGTCCTTATATAGGGGCTAGAGGGCGGCGATGGAGGCCCACGGCGGCCGGCGACGGCGATGGAAGGTTTAGGGTTAGAGGAGAGAAAACGAATCCGAATCGAGCTCGAATCCAACAATTTCCAAACGAAATTAGATGAAGTTTCTATAGGAGAAAAGATAGAGGAGATCAAGGGGATCATTTTCCCTCTACCAATTTGACCGGATCGGGAAAGGGGCGACGGAATTTGGAAGGGGGCGGCGGCGACTGGCGCGCTAGGGCGCGGCTGCGACGCGAGGAGGAAGACGACCCTGACAGGTGGGCCCTACCTGTCAGCGGGAGAGAGGAGAGAGGGCGGGCGGCTCGGCTCGGCGGACTGGTTGGGCCGGGCGCAAGCAGGCCGAGGAGAGAGAGGGAGAGAATTGGGACGACTTTCGGCCCAAAGCCAAAAGTAAGATTTTAAAACCTTTTTCTATTTAAATTATTCATGAAATGATATTTCATTAATTAAAAATACTTTCTTGGCTCAAATAAATCCCAAAAAAATCTAGGAACTATAGAATCAAGATAAGTTTTTAATAAAATTTTATCTAGCCCACCTTTATATTGGAATTTATTATTTAAAATTAGATCTTTTCTTCAAGGCTTTTAAAATCATTTCTAATAATTCCATTTAAACAACAATTTATAAATTTAGGATTTTGAGGGTGTGACATAGGCGCAGCCATGTCTTCCGTAGTGTTCGCATCAGCGAGGTTGAATGCAACAAATCAAAGCTACTTGGTAAGTTCAAAGTCAAACAAAACTTTCTATCTACAGCATGCTGTTAGCGCCGCTGCGTATATGATATTTTGTTTCTGAAGCCTGTGCCAATCACACTTGCAACAGCATATGAAATGCAGCATGGAGATAGCCTGAGGTTAAAAACTTCCCATGGCTTGAAGATCAAGATCAGAATCAAGGAAGCTGCTAGCACACTGTACATGACGACAGGGTGGAAAGAATTTGCAGAAGCAACTGGATTAGAAACTGGAGAGACGATTCTTTTCAGAATGTCATCGCGCTCTAAAGCGCGTGTTATGCTACTGAACAGACAATGCCTTATTAGATGTCCAGTAAAGACCCCATCCACCACCTCATCAGACAAAAATAGGTCCCTTAGTCCATCAGATCAATTAACCAGAGCAAGCACAAGTGCGCATCCATCCACTAGCAAGAGCATTCCACCTCTGAGGAACGGAACAGGTACAAGACTTACCTCAACACATTTGTCCAACTTACACTGCCCATTAACATCCCTGTTCTTTTTTCGCCGCATAATAGAAAATATATGATTAGATCAGTCAGATGCTCCTCCAACTTACACTGCCTAAAAACACTGTGCTATATTGCCCCGTGCAAAATTCCACATACTGACCGAGTGATCTAGATCTTCCTATCTATGTTTCCACTCATACATAGTCATTTTCTGTTCCATCTTTTATTTCCAGGCAGTACCAAACGAAGCATAGCTGACACCTCCTTCTGCCACCAGCTTAAGCTGACAGCTGAGAATTGAAGAGCTACATCAAAGAAATTGTAGATTGTCTAGAAGAATCAAAGAGGTTCTATGTCATTCGTATGAACAGAACATTCATGGAGCAGGACAGAGTGGTAATTTTTCACGCAACATCTCCATCTCCTTATATCCATACCAAGCATATAACTGTCCCATTTCTTTTTCAGTACTTTGCAACTGAATTTTCAAAGAAATACATTGCGAAGCTGGTTCGGGCCAAGACAACACACATTAAAGTGCAGATTGCAGGAGGACCCTCAACAACAATGGTTATTTACAGATCGTCGGATACCCGCTACAACCTATCATCAGGGTGGTTAGCTTTTGCAGCAGCCAACAGCATCAGCCTACACACGATCTGCATCTTCCACTTTTACAGGGCAGGTGACCTCAGGCATCACCATAGATGCTCTGTAAAAGTTAGCTGCATCTTCAGTATGCGCTGCTGTTATCTACCCTACAACAGCTGCTGTAATACTCTCTATTATCCTTTGCTTAGCGTCTATCTGGCTTTACTTGCTCTGTAAGCGAGTGACTTACAGCTACTTATCGTTGTCCTCAGCTCGTTTTGTTATGCATAGGCTGAGCGAACAATCAACCACTTTATGTACAGGCAGCTGCCTTACTATAGTACGGCTGCTATGGTACTATTTGATTGTTTTCATCGAACTGTGCACAGGCGGCGCGCCATTGGCGCGCCCCAGCCTCTAGTGTATATTTAACACCTCTCCGATTTGATCGAGGCTTCCGTCATGTCTATGCTGCAAGCCGTTATCTGTTGTGACGAATAGAGAACGAAGTTGGAAAAGGAAGCTGGAATTTAGTCTGCTCAGGTCAGCAGATCTTCAAATGCTTCCTAGGCCCGTGTTTAGTTCTAAAGTTTTTTTCCAAACTTTCAACTTTTCCATCACATCAAAATTTTCCTACACACACAAACTTCTAACTTTTTCGTCACATTGTCGCAATTTCAACTAAACTTCCAATTTCAGTGTGAACTAAACACATTACTACTACTACATTTGTGCCCCTGATAATGTATTCTATTTTGTCTTGTTTTAATTTGTTGCAAGTTATAACTTGATATTTAAGGTCGTGTAAATCAATTTTCTTTACTGACATTTATAGGATGATGACCACGGTGACACTACGGATCGTATATATGAGCGGTTAGAGGCACTTGATTCATGTAATACTGCTGAAAAGCGTGCTGCTGAGCTATTGTTTGGTTTGGGCTTTAATGAACAAACTCATGCAGGCAAAGTAAACTTGGGAATTTTCTGGTAGTCGTTGGTCTGTGAGGATTGCTTTGGCGAGACCTTTTTTTTTTTTAAGCCGCGCCACGTTTTCTAGTTTTTATCTAAAGGCATACGGCTCATGGCAGACACTGACGCGGGCATGATTAACGGGTCTTGCCGGAATGCGTCGGGTCCGGGCAGGCACGATCTATGATCTCTACAGCACGTATTGTAGTATATATAAGAATCTTGCTATACGTACTACCGAGCTGTACGATTTGTATCCGACCGAGTCATATACGATTTGTATCCGACCGAGTCATGCATCCAAATGTGGGTCCAGACAAATAGTATATATGCTTATACATACACTAGTCGGATAGATGGGTCGGACGTATAGGCAGATGTATAGCAATTTCGTATATAAAATCCGAGCCAGCTCATGCCTGGCGCGACTGTGCAAGCAAAGCCCATACCGCCTCTCACTGCCCTGTGGACAGGATAGGTAGTTGTACTACCGTGCTAGCCGTGGAACAGCACAGCGTTAGCATATGCACGCATATGATCCGTAGGAGATGCAGTACTACTAGTAGTAGTGGAGCACGCTCGTACTGTTTACAGCGCAAAACTTGTTGCGACTAGTAGCTGTGCTCCTGTGCCTGCTCCATGGATCCATTAATCCCAGCAGCTGCAGCAGAAACAGCAGCATCTGATGCATGGTCCCCTCTGCACGCTGCTGCTACTCCTCCCTCCACTTCTATACTCCCTGCAAAAAAAAAACTGCGAGCCCTCGCCTCGCAGTCGCAGGCAAAAGCGAGAAAGTTGGCAACCTGCCACTGTCAGCAGCAACAAGGACGGAGGAGAGGAGGGAAGGAGCAGAGCTATTATCGCTACGTCCACCAAACGACAAGCAACAAAGCAGCAAGTGCATGACATTTGTGGTTCTGTACGCCTAGAAACGTTTTCACCACCGGTTCGGTGGTGATAATTTGTTGGTGACGATAGCTTCTGTATTACTACTACTTACTACCTCCATACTAAAATATAACAATTTTTAGCTATAAATCTGGATATTTATAACTAAAAATACTTATATTCTGGACAGAGGGAATTACTAGTTTGAGCATTGGTGCTTTGAGTTTTGGGCTGTGTTTAGTTCAGCGCAAAGTTTGGATTTTGGTTGAAATTAGAGATGATGTGACTGAAAAGTTGTGTGTGTATGACAGATTGATGTGATGAAAAAGAACTGAAGTTTGGATCAAACTTTGTATCTAAAGACAGCCTTGACTACTCTCTGTTCTCTCGAGTAAATGGCAGCAGTACTGCCAATCTTGCATTGATTTGCTTTCCGTGCTCTTCGGGGACAAAGGAGGTTAAAAAGCTTGCAGGGTATAGCAGGTAGTAATAAAAGGTTTTTGCTACTGTAATCTTAAAAACGAAAATTATTCTTGCATTTGCCATCAGTTGTCTCGATGCCTGATTACCAGTAAAAGTTTTAGTTGGTAAAAATAAGAAATTGCGCCCAGTAATTACCATATGGATACAGTCACCTACACAAGGATGAAAGGCAAAGTACAAGAAGCTGTAGTAAAGAACGTGTCGCCAAAAGATGGAGGCTTTTTCTGCCCTTTTCACAGTCTTACCTTCCCGAACGGAGAAACCAGCTGCTGCAGCACTATGATCCTCTATCCGATCTTCTCCCTCCTCACCTACCACAAAGGTGAGATATCAGGATATCAGGTGGTGTTTGTATACAAGAATTAAACTTTAGTCCATCACATTATATGTTTAGTACTAATTTGAAGTATTTAAATATAGATTACTTATAAAACTAATTATATAAATAAGATCTAATTTGTGTAATAAATTTTTTAAGCCTAATTAATCTATAATTAGCACATATTTACTGTAGCATCACATAGGCTAATCATGGATTAATTAGGTACAATAGATTTATCTCGTGAGTTAGGCTAAGATTATAGAATTGGTTTTATCAATAATCTATGTTTAATACTTCTAATTATTACCAAATATCCGATCTGATAGGAAAAAAAATTATTTTTTTTAAGTACCATCCAAACAGCCGCTCAGATAGCGAGGAGTCTTGTTGACCGGACGAACTAGTCGACAGAACAAGAAGCAGCTCATCCTAACCAACAGCCACGATTGGCCACGGATATTTGGCACAATATTTACTTGGCCCATAATCAGTAATACTACCAGTAATGAGGTTGAAGAGAAGAAGCATCACTCACCCTGGGATTGAGATCAGGTGCAGTCAGGACTGCATGTATTTTCAGCCATTCAATTTTGGGTTTGTTGGAACCATGCCACCCTATATTTGCAAAATTTAAGATATGACACCCATATCTCAATGACATGTAGGACCCACATGAGTCAATGACATGTGGGTTAGGGTGGCATATCACAAATTTTGCAAAATTTGTGTGGCATGATTCAAATTGTCCCTTCAATTTTATGATCAATGATCCTGTTCACTCTACAGCACCCTAACAATAAGTATTTTATTGTAAAGTACTTTTGCTAATGTAGCCAGGCTAATCCTTACCGTCAGATTTAGCAGCTACGACTCCTTAAGTTATAGTCCATACTATTACTGCAGCTGATCCGGATCCCTCACCCTAGGTCTCTCTTGTTTGTGTTGTGGCAGCAGCAGGAGCAGTAGCCTTCCTCTGATAACCACCACCCCCCTCCCCCTCTCACTCCAATTCGAACGAGCCAGAGACGTCTAGAATCTGTCCCGGTACTGTGTCACCGTATTTGGGCCTTAGGCCATGTATCGTGTTGGAGCCCATTAGGGTTACGTCAAGGGTTGGTTGCACGACCCTAAACTTTATATATCAGTAGCCGCCGTCACCTTTAGGGTTTGGGATTTGCATAGATTATTCTGTCGAGAACAGTTTCACCGCTAGATATGTTTGTAAGACCCCAACATGTGAGCTTAATCATTCATCTGCAATTTCGGTTGTATTCTATCTCGTTCTTGTTTGTGTTCTTCAATTGGCAAACAGGGATTAGCCTTCTCGGCGAGGTCATCTGCATTTCGACATGGGTGATAACTCGAGGAGACGTGGTGATGCGATTGTGGGGCTCAAGAGCGTGCGCGTTCAAGAAGCCGGATCGATTTGTGTCGCGACTCCGCCCAAATCATTGTTTATCAGAATCTTTCGGAAGATTGGGAACCCTAGTGCACATCATGGTCACTGGCATGGGTTTGTTCTGTTTTGGAGATTTGTTTTTTTTGTTGGGGAATGGTTTTAGACTTTGATTTCTTGGTGGGATTAGGGAAACATTCCATTTCAGTTGCTGCTGCTGGTTGGGGCTGCCAATGCCCAATGGATCCATTCCTGGGGCGATGGCCATGGTTGCTGTTGGGTAGAGGAGAGGGGGAGCTCAACCCACGCAGTGTGCAGGTGTTGTGAGGAGGATCAAGCTGACCTCACGCCATGCCACCACCCATCCCTCCAACGAACTGTTAGCCGATGACCGGCAAGAGCATGCTCGCATTCGATTCACGTTATCACATATGCACAAGCTCTCAGATCTAACGGAGAGAAGATGAACAGGAAAGAGGGATGAAGAAAGAAGATAAGGACAATTTGGTCTAAAAATCTTAGAAAATATAATGAACTAGCTGGGTGGCCCGCGCAATTGCGCGGCTAGCACCCATATAAAATTATATATTTTTAATATAGTTTTACTTCAAATTTATTAAATAGTTATCTCGTTGTCTTAAATTTTTAAAGACTAAACCTTATTATCGTCATGTTTCTATTTTTTTTTAGTTTTTAAAAGTCATAACAGTTGCTACCCCTTACTTCTGTCATATTATTCTTTATTTACTTGCTCGATTTACTACTGTTTTCTATTCATTCTCCTTGAAATCTTTAAAAAATGGATCTAAAAACTTATAGGTTTTAGAGTCTATTGTCCTGTTGGGCATCTTTTTTATAATTTCTAGAAGTCTCGTCCAATACTACCATCCACTGCATCTTCTCTTTATTGTCATTGCTATTTTAAAAATCAAACATAATTATCATTTAGATTTTTTTTTAACTTTCTAGAAGTTCCGCCAAAACGTCAGCGACTTTGTCACTGCACTTCTCTACGGCTCACCCACTGCCGCCC